TGGGAATGGGCGTTATTTTGAGTCTAGAAGTTAATGAGATCCCATTGCGGCTGGGATGTTGGCTGGTCAGTGTGTTCAACCCTACCAATCTCACACTAAATGTCCAGCGCGAGATAACTCTACAAATTACAAGAGAAGATGTTGGTGTTGTTCTAGGGCTCCCATTAGGGTCAACAAAGATAGTATGTCGGCCTAGTCAGAAAGTGGGGCATGAATTAAGGGATTGGCGGGCGCAAGTTGGAAAGCGAGACAGCACAATAACCTTGAGGAAGGTATGCCAGGTGATGCTAGCCTGCGAGGATGGTGGTGTGTGGCTCAAACGTCACTTCTCCGTGGCTGTTGCTGCTGTTATGATTGAAAGCACCCAGAATGGCTATGCCAACCAGCAGTTTTTACACCAGCTTGAAGACGTGGACAAGATACGGGACTTAGACTGGTGTGGGTACTTGCTTAAACGGTTAGTCAAAACCCACCATGATTGGGCAGAAGACAAGATGCAACGTTTTACGGGGCCACTCCTATTCCTAGTGGTCTGAGTTTTTTTTTTTTCTCCAGTTTTCTTATTAAATTAACAGACCTAAAATGAGCAGCTTTATCAAGCTGATTCGTCCATTTTAACTTTTCCGTTTGTTTTGATTTTGCAGTTTTTCTATGTAGACAGAGTAGCGTTAGGCCCTTGGGTAATTGCTAGGAGCGTCCCTGCCTTAATTGGATGGACTGGAAAGCTTTTGAAGGAGCGTGAGTTATTTGAGATTTGAGCGGTGGGATTTGGGATTGGATTAGTGATCGAACCGTTGCGGGATGTTACCGGACTAGAAGAGATGGGGCTTTGGGCGGCAGTACAAAACAGGTCTTAATTATTGTCTAACCAATTCCCTTAGTAGTGCTAACCAATTCACCACCGATTCGTGTTTCGTTGTGTTTGTATTTTTTGTTAAACAGGGAGTTGTGTTTCCATTGTGTTTCTTTGCCTATGTTGGCACCTGCCCCTCGTTGGTGTCTGTGTATTATGAATAATTATCGCGTCCACTCGGTTGTACTTTGGTGATGATTCGAGGAAATTCAAAATGTAGGGGTTTGTTGAGCTAATTGTTGCCAAATCAAAACTCATAGCTACCACCGTAGAAGAATTGATTGAGATGGCGAAGGAAGCCCCGGACGAGACGTTCGACAATCCACACTTTAAAGAAGCGCTAGATGCTGCCGGGGAGTTGATGGCCATGAGACGAAGCTAACAAACATTGAGTACACAGACTGGCACACAAGACGATGAGGCATTCTGGGTGGAGACTATTGATGCAGCTGACGAGATTGAGGTTGGACACAAGAATACTGAAGAGGGATTCGATCCACCTAGCTTTAGTCTAGGCTTGACACAAGACTTTGGGGGCCCACAGTTTGGTGTCTTATTCCCGGATCGACCGCACTGCACAGGTGGGCAGAATGGTGGCAGGTTAGATGTATCAATAGGTGGGTGCGTATTGAGAGGTGTGGTCGGCGAAGTAGTCGGTGCAAACGCCATTCAGGTTAGCCTGTTTGGTTTGTAGTATTCGTTATGCATGTGGTGTTGGCCGTGAATTGATTAGCACTCCAAACATAGCAGGACCGAACTGTTGTAACCCCTCTAACGCATGTGGGGCGCGTGTTTTGTTCGGAGAATATTGGGCCAGTTGTCCAGGTACTAATATGTGGTTTTAATATCCTTTTGTGTGTTTGATTATTGATTTGACTTGGTTTCGGTGTTGACATATCACAGGGCAAACACAAACAGCGATGCATTACCTGCTTGTATTGGTGGGTCGGGACCAAGGGCGCCTTTGAAGGAATTGCGATGTGATGTCAGGTCAGGTGTTGAGCATGTGGGGGGTATGAACTTATTGAATAGCTATCCTGAGGGGCATACGGTGGTTGCTGCGATCCCCGATCCCGACCGGTTCTCTCTGTGGCAATGGTTCTTTCACCATCCAGACCGGAACTAGTTAGTACCGTTTGCGTTATTGTACTCTCTACATATATTACACAGCTAAATCACTTCACACTGTTTTCTATGGTTTTTTTTTAAAAAACACTATGCAGCACCGAGGAGGTTTTCTCATTCAACGGGAGGCATGGGTAGTTGAAAGACTTCATGTCTTTACAGTTCGACAATGCAGTACGTATGCCAGTGGTGGAATGATATGGAAAAGGGTAGAAAGCCGGACGCACCTAGTAGAGTGTTCGTTATGATATACACTTTGGTATGTGATATATGACCATGTATTAAAGCATTATTTCTATTACCTAACTACCTATGTATCTTTGTCCCCCCCCCCCCCCCCCCGCCACACACATTCAACAGTTGAGCAGTGTTATTTTCTCCACGGGTGACTGGGATGTGCGCTTGGGTTGGTTTACAAAACGGCTGGATAAGGTTTTTGAGCGTGCACCACATATTAAATGTGCCACTGTAGACCTAGTATAGTAACCATTTACTAACCCAGTGTTTTTTTGCATTTAAAAAGTAAGTGACCAATCAGCTGCATTTGACGAATACAAATGTTTGAGTGCAGTTTTTCTTCCCCATTCTGAAAGCTGCTCACTATTACGTGTTGTGTGTAAACATGCGGAAGCGCAGGTTTGAAATCATTGATAACTCCCCGGTAGCTGGTAAAAACGATGATAGATATGGCTCCATTCCACAGGAATTGGTAAGTGTATTGAGGTGAATGTTGGCCAGTTCGGATTGTAGTGCCGGAGTTGTGTGTTATGTTGCCGTTAATTGCTGGTTGTTTTATCTGACTTATGTGCAATGTAGCATACCACGTAGGGCTCTTGGATAGGGGGGGGGGTGTCTGGAGTCGTGACTGCATATGTGTGTGACGTTGGTGTGAGTTATGGTGGTGGGGTGGGGGTCGTTGGTCAATGGGGATATCTGGTTTGATTGGCCGGTGTTTTTTTATTTATTTTTTTAACCATTACTATTTTAATTTGGTTTTTATTTTTTCACCCACGATGCGCAGATTGACCGTATGGCTAGATATAATGTGTTTTATTCGAATTGGTATACTAAACTCACGTTTTGTTATCCCCTGTTAGCTCGATATGCTATCAGCATAACTTCATAACAAAGGGCAGGGCTTACGGTCAACCTTTGTTGACAATATGAGGGCTATACGGATGCAGATGCCGTGGCGAGATTGTAAACACAAAGAAGATAGCGGGGTTTACACAATGAGACACATGGAAGCGTACATGGGAGAGAAGTGTAAGGATTGGGACTGTGGATTGCAGAAGGGGGACCGGAATGAGATTCGGAAGCTGCGCCAGAGATACTTGCACGACATATTGTTGTCCGAAATCAATGGCCACCGGGAAGCAATTGATGTATGTACTAAAGCATACATTTGCCGGAAAAAAACTTGGCGACAATGATCTTAGGATGGATGTGAATACGGGCAGTAATGATATGCAAAGTTTGGGGCATCTACATAATAAATGGCTAAACATTTTTCTAGCTTAATAATGTTATTCCTCTGCATAATAAATGATTTTTTATTATTGATTAATTGAGTGTGCTGTTTTCTTCCTACTGTTACACACAGTGTTGCCTAGACATCACTATATATTTATTGTAGTATGGGCTTAGATTATCTACGCTCTATATTTGCCTGTATAATTTATTAAATAATATAAGCAGCTTTTGACTGTAGCAGGTGAAATCTGTGCTAATAATAGTTTTTTACTGCGGTATTTAGCAATATAAAATGAATATGGACTACTTTGACTTTTTCATGTAGAAAGTTTAGGATTTTATAATGAACTAATATGTCTTCTTTTTGCCCTATCTCAAAGTTGTGTTGTTATTCCAACTTGTTGGTAGGTTACAGTATTCTCTTTGGCTTATTTTTAAGTGTTGATTTGAGACGTTTCAACCATCCTCTCAAAACAGAAAACTCTCATTGGATGCTATTTTTGTTTTCGTTTACTATGTATTAATTATTGAGGATGGAAAGTATTTTTGAGTTAACTTGGAGCAGTTGTTGTGACATGGCTTTGGGTTATAAGTAGTTAATTGTAATTTTTAAAGCAAAAAGGAGGAGGTTCGTAGGTGTAACTGTCCCGAACCTCATCTTGTGAAAGTGAGTTATCCCCTAAATTGTTTGAGGATATAGTGATGAAATTAGCTTCATCTGATTTTCTCACTTGCTGTTATTTTTGAGACAATCCATGCAAACTGATCTATAGTAGTATCCTACCTTGCAAATTCGAAAGAATATTTCACAGCCAACAATTCAAAATTTTGGTTGTTAACCCAGTATTTCTCATGCAGTAGTATCCTACGAGCACAATGATTTTTTATAGTGTCTAGGACCCATCTAAAAAAATTATTTTTCTAGCGAGTATCCAACTAACAACACCATCAGATGTTCTCACAGGCTTTCAACCCCATCCCCCATACGCATATGTACAGTAAACACCAAAAACTTAAATATTGAAACAGATATGGAAAATTAAAGTTCATAACACCCCCTTGGGGTGGCTTATTTAGTTAGTTTGGTAATATTGTGTCCCACACAAAGTTACTAGCACATGCCGATGTCTAACTTCTAACAACAAACAGAAAACATCTCCAGCCAATTTATAATAACTACACCACTACTCTTATCTGATTCGTTCCTTCAATGATCAGTGAGTTAATGTATAGTCTTTTAGTTGAACAATCATGTGCTGTATCTTGATGGCCACAAGTTATGAGCTCTAAAAAAAATTCGAGGATGTATTAGCAAAGACTACAGAAATGTATGGACGTAGCTAGTCAGGTACTAGCACACCTATAAAAATGGTCGGGTTAAATTGTCTTGTAGTCGTTTAATTTTTTTTAAGTCTTATCATGGTGTGGTGCCATCCATTGTGACTCCTGTGTATAAGTTAACTTCCCAATATATGTATCTAATAGAATATACCAATATAATTCCATTTTTTCTTTGTTTTTGAGTGTTTTTTTAAGCCCAGTTGCACAGCTAATACCCACGTGCCTGCCTAATGATGGTGTCTAACTAACAAAAACAGAGCATAAGAAAAAACAAAAGGTTACCAGGGACCCGGTACAGAACCCACGTTTATTTATTGCATTAGTAACCGAGGTGCATAGTGTCCTGCGTGCATCACTGTAAAATTGCAACTTAAAATACGAGCACAATGATTTTTTATAGTGTCTAGGACCCATCTTAAAAAAATTATAATGGTAGCTAGTATCCAACTAACGACACCATCAGATATTCTCACAGGCTTTCACCCCCACCCCCCATACGCGTTGCACGAAGAACTTCACAAGTGCGACTATTGTGTCCCCCGTATTTACCACACCCGTGACATTTTCTAACCCCCTTCAGAGACTGCTCAATGGCTTTTCCCTATTCCCCTTTAATCTTTTTCCACTACCTTTGTTTTTTGCAACAATTGGGGGCTTGACTGTCACTGCCAAAGACGGTGCCGACCCACAATATTCTTGAATCATTGGATTTTTTTTTTTTTTGTGGTTTACCGGGCCATTCGTTTCCCCTACGAAAGAATCCTTCAGCTGCTGGATCACTTGGGTTAACTGGTCAACACGTTCTGAGCTGTTAATTGCCAACCCCACGCATACAAAGATCTCTGCCCACATCCTGTTCCTCCTGAGTCTTGGTTTCATCGTGGTTAACATTTGAGTGTATAGTAAGGCCATCAAACTGAAACTCCACACGCTAACAAACCTTGCGTGTCCAGCGGTCTACTATGTATCTTGATGGGATGTTGTCTACGTTGTTGTTTTTGAAGACTATGAAAATGTGGCAACACAACCACCCTAACCTTTGGAAAAGTGAGCACGTGCACGTTGCACTACTTTCGCAGGAGTTGTAGTGCACATGGTACTGCTGGTTGACACCATCAGTTATGCCGTAATTGATGATTTCTCCAGCAAGTTCTACGAACACTACCCCACACGAATAACACCCTGCATAAATTTCTGCTTGTACCACGTGGAAAATTGTGATTGTGTACAGGGCCAACGCATGGCGTTCAATTTTCAAGTCCGTTTTTGTCGGAGCAAAATGACCTTCGCACACTGCATTAAGCGTGGTATGGATCTGCCGTTGTGCATCTACTGCAGATTCAAAGTGGCAGTAAAACTCCACCAAACTGGCTGTATGGGTTAAATACCTTCCGAAGAAACTGTTCTCACCCTCAGATCGGGACGTGGTTCTAACTAGGCCACAGAGAAGCATATCCTTGAAATACGCGGGGATCCAATAACGTCCTGCCTCCCACAGCTGTGTGAACCAATTATGATCTAACAAGCCATACTCACCTAGCAACGCTTGCCACCTAATCTCAAACACATCGGGCTGTTGAATTTCATCCTAAACAATAGCATTCAGCCTTCCCCGAAAGGCAACGTCTTTAGACAACTCCGGGCCAACCTTTTCCCCTACCTTCATCATAATATGCCACATGCAAAATCGGTGCTGACTACCTGGGTAAACTTGTTCTAGAGCAATCCTCATAGCCAGGTCCTGGTCTGTGACAAAACATGATGGAGCATCACCCATTGCCTCCTTGTACCTCTCTAGCACCCAAACATATGACACAACATCCTCCTTGGTGATCAGCGCGGCACCAAAAGTAACGCATCGTTTGTGGTTATCCACACCCGTGAAGGGTACGAAAACCATTTTGTACCTGGATGATTTGAACACAGTTAGTAAGAGGTTCATGTTATCGCGAGGTGGTGGTGTGTGCGGGGCGTGCACCCCTGAAAGCGAAAGTGTTGTGCTCTATGGGCTACATGTGGTGATGAATTAATGGGGTGTTGACTTCCTGGTCGAACAGATAAGTCGTGAGAATCTATGAATTACAATACTGAATATAATTAATGTAGAAAGGAATTACATCTTCTATTGGGACCAGATATAGGAAGAAACTTTACTGAACATCTATATTTAGCAGAGTGTTTAAATTAAATTATTCAAATAAATTATGAGAATATTCATATCTTTAAAGGCGTACCAATTATGAGCCACTAGTTTGCACTGTTATTGGATTCTGGTTTCTTATTTATTTAAAATTTGTGGCAGTTTTTCCCAACTACTGTGCAGATATATATATACACAACATTTTAAACCTTCCCATCCTCAAATCTATACGGTTATTTTTGTTATCCTGTAACAAAATCCTTTAAAAAATAATTCCAAACGTACCTATTTGTCGAGTACGTTGCATCGAAGGAAATGATGTCACCAAAAAACATGTGGTTGCGACGAGCTACCGGATCAGCCCAGAACACACGTCGTAATTGGTCGTCCTCGTCAATGTCATGCTTATAATAAAAGGCGGCACAGTTGTCATTTTTCCTTGACAACTTATCAAGAAAATACTGCGCATCACACCCATCAATATACGCACGGAGGTCGCGTTTTGAATTCTGAAAATCAACACTAGTTGCCCCAACATTTTCATACCCACCAACAAACTCTTTTAAAATCCTAACACCCTGACTTGTCCCCACGTTCGCCTTTGCGCAATTAGCCATGAACGCTTGATGTCAAAAATCAAGTTTGCGGTTCACTTTCATGAACTTCCTAGACATAGGAGTACACAACACATGAGTGTGCTTCTCCACAAATGAGAAGACCCAATACCCCCCGGTCTGGTCATTTTTAAAAACGATCCTAGCCTTACACCCCACCCTATTGGAAACCCTACGACGCTTCACAGGCATAGGGCGACTAAAGTCGTCAACCCCTAACCCCCCCCCCCCCTTTATTGGGTGTGGCACCCGAGACAAACTTATATCCCTTGCGATTACAAAGCAAATGTCTCAAAACCACCACCCCCCTATCCTTCTTTTTTGAACCATGCCTAACATCAAACCCCACCATAGCAGCATACTTTATATAGAATTCCTCAACCTCCGTAAGAGTTTTAAAAGTCTGGTCGATGACCGGCTTACTCCCATCATCACATTGTAGCCACCAATACTTTGATGACCCAGGAGATATTTCGACCCGACAACCTTCTTCCACAACAGTAATGTTACCAGCAAGATCATCTACACCGGACAAAAAAACCATGTTAGAAATCAATTTAAACATAATTGGTAATCAAACAACACATCCTTTACTAAATACACTTGGCCACACATTTGATTAAATAAAACTATGATGACCTAGTAAACATGTTTGCACAGCTATAGTCTTGATAGGGAAAGGATTTTAAATCCAAACTCATAACGGAATGAATTAAAATGAAAATAAGACAGGTTAGTAATCCAAACAAGGCAAAGAGATAAAAGGAAAACAACAACGTGGGCAATATACTGATATTTTAGATAAATTGCGCTATAGAGGTAGAGAAATTATGGAAGTATTAGTAGTAGTTCAGCAGCACTGCACCATCAACATAAAAGAATAAAGATTCAAATGCGCGGTTTTAGTTGCCACTCTATAATTCCCCCGCCCCTACAAAAATAGGTCCGTGAGCCTAAACCCTGAGTACTGTGAAGAAAGCATAAGCAGATTGGCCGCAACGCTGTAATACCCACGTCGTTTAATGTATATATATATTTGTCCACACAGTTGAAAGAATAACCTAAGATGACAAGCCCAAACAAATTAATAGCGTCTGAACCGACACCTTCCCCATTTCCATCACACCAAATAGTAATCCTATTTTGGCATACCAAACTTATATAAGTTTGGTGCACCCCCCCTAAAGCATCAATGTTTTACAGTGCTACTACGTACTAACACACATAGCTACAGATAGTGTGGATTGATCAAGGGTAGGGATTCGAGTATGGCATTAGATATTTAGCAAGTAGATCGACATAACGAATAACTAATAAAATAGTATCTGCCCACCATGATTCCGCTTAAAGTCTTCCTATAAATAATAATAATTTCTTTCAATACAAAATTCTAGTGCAAAGTTAGTGACATACTTTAAAAATCAGTATATTTTAATTGATAACAACTTCTGTTTACAAACTGTTTATGAAGGTTAAACAGTGTAAGCAAATATAATATAGGTACCTTTCCACTTTGTTATTGCCATACATACATGCACCATTTAAATTTACGAAGCAATGGGAGTGGTTTTGAGAAGAAAGCATAGGCAACTCTTCCTCACATGCAAAGTGCAGAGCTTCAACAGAGTAACTAGCTTATGTTGTTGGTTTGAGTCTCATAGTAAACATGTTTGCACAGCTAAAAACATGATAGGGAAAGTCTTTTAAATCCAACTCACCAGTTATGCTTTTGGTTATTTCAAACTGGGAAAAAGGAAATACCCCACTTGGCGAGACCAATTACAGGCAATCCAGTTAAATGAACTCCTAATTGTTAATCCGACTATTTAAAAAAAAAAAATGAGTTCACTTCTATCCAAAAACACTGGAGATGAATAATTACTTCAAAGCACTATCAATTATAGGCCAAAAGTGGACTGCAACCGGACGACGCCAAACATACAATTAGGAAAATTAAAGAAAATGAGACACTTATATACGAACCTGATCCATTTTATCTCATCTGCCTCCCAGCTACTACAATCGCGTATTCAAACACAGTTTAAAAAAAAAATTGCCCACTATTTATTACCGACTGTCCAGCCACCCCCACCCCCACCCCCCACACACACACCGTCCAGTGCGAACAGCGTACAGAATCGGAAAGGAAGTAACAAAATTACACGCACAACCAGCCAACGAAATCATAAAAAAAAAAAAAAAAAAAAAAAAAAAAAAAAAAAAAAAAAAGAGGCCAAAAAGGATATCTTGCCGTATAGCGTAGTTGTGCACCAAAAGAAATCCCCAAAAAAATAAAAAAGGATGAAGAAAAAAAAAAGAACAACAAACCAGTCACCATCCGAGATCAGAAGCCTTTGCATGGCAATAACAGATGAGGAAACCAAAATAACGATGGGAAGAAACCACGCACAGGATTCATCCCCGGACTAGAACTGTAACGGGGTTGCCGGAGGGAATTTAGGAAAACGGTAATCGCCTAAGCTTTCGGTGCGTGCAATAAATAAAATAGCAAAAATACGATAAAACCCTCCTTAGTAATACTGTGCAAAAAAAAAAAGGCCAATCTACACAGCGTATAAGAATATAGTGCAAACGGTCAAGTCATAATGCACAGTAAAAAAAAAAAAAAACCCTTGGATTGCCTAAGATCAAAGGCCACCAACCAACCACACATTCTCACCTAACAACTTATTCTCACCTGATTAGAATTATATATATATATATATATATATATATATATATATATATATATAATGCAACACTTAAGTCATGCTAAAATACACATACTTCTCAACTCAATCTCAAGAGGCTAGATAAAGACTTTCCATATGGAATGAGATTTTAGAAAATAATACTTAGGCTCACATTGGCCCCTTATACACTTTTAAAACATGAAATGCTCAAAATGCTCTTTATTGTAACATATGCTTTTATTTTCAATTCCTTGCGTAACTCAACAAATTTCATGAATCATGCTTGAAAGCTCATAATTTAACAATTCTTCTCAATAAACACTTAACAAGTATTTAACATGCTTTTGCAACTCAAAGTACTCTCAAACTAATCATGCTCAACAATAGCAACTTGGCAGTGAATTTCTACAATTTAATTATAATAGCTACTTAAGGCATGCATTGCTAGCTAAAAACAAACATTTAGGCTCATGCTTCTCTATTAAACAAATAAGCAAAGGCATGCTCATCAAATAAATTCTCCAAGTCTGATACATTTCATCACATTCACAGTAAACTACACCAAATAACCTCTGTAACAAATATGCTTACAAAACTTAGCATAAAACGCTCAATTCTTCTCCAACCTCAACGAAATCAAAGCCAAAACGTGCGTCGAGACAGCCCCGAAGTAGAGAGCCCCAAGGGCCCTCGATACCCTGTTCGAAACGACACGTAGCTAAGCCACAAGGGCCTGACCACTGCACAGAGGGCTACCAACGGCCATTGGGGCGGGGCTCGGCTAAGCCCGCCCCTGGAACCGCCTAAACGCCGGCTCTAGGGCACGACCCTCTCCTAGGGACGCCCCCTAGGGCTGGTTTTCCACGGCCTTAGCCAACGGTCCCCTTGTTGGGCCGTTGGCTGGGGCCGTCCAATTCACTGGTACACACTGCCTGTGCACCAGATGAATCCTTTCACATGCAAGACGAAAATTTGGACAACTCTAACACTTCTAAAACATCAACAACTCATCAACAAGCACAAATAAATTACCCAATAACTCAAATACTTAGCATTTCTACTCATTCAAAAACACAAAAGACTTCACAGAGTCTTAAAACATAGATTGGGAATCCATGAGTTATACCTTTGGAGCTTTCTTCTTCTTCTAGCTTGGAAACCACCTCTTCCTTTGCTAGCTACAACCTCCTTCACCTCCTAAATATCCCCAACAACAACAAGCCACTAAATACTCAGAGGAATAAGAGGAAGAACAATGGAGGAAATTGAAGGCCAAGGTTGAAGAAACACTTACTGTGAATCCCTTTGGAGTTGTGAAGCTAAGGTTTGGCAGCCAAGAAGGGAATCAGGAGGAAAATGAAAGGATTCTAATGCTTTTATATGGGTTCAAAACCCTAGGAGATCTTCTTATGATTGGTTGATGAAATGAACAATCTTATTGGCTCTCAATTAAAGCATCAGACAAAGGTGGAGGCTAGTGGTTCGCCATACTCCATGGTCCAAGGGCTAGAATTGCTATTTAAAATACTTTGGGGTTGAAAACGGAATTTTCAAAAAAATTTTCTAGACAAACACTTGTTTTAAGCTTTTCAGAATTCTCCCGGTTTCACTCAGATAGATTTCTCAGTTCAAAACGTGGCACGCAATGTACCCGAAAATTAGGATATTGGAATTAAATCCATTCTTGATGTCAAATTAAATTTAAAATGGCTCAAAATAATTTATTCAACACCGCTTTCTTTGTAAAAACTTTTATGGAGTGAAAATTGGCTATTTTGGATTTTCTTAAAATCGGATTTATAAAATAAATTATTGGGTTGTCACAGTATCTTCCGTCTTTTCGTGGCTATCGTTGTTTGGATACTAGCACTAACAAGATTTTTGTCTGTCGCCACGTGCGATTTGATGAGACTGTCTTTCCTTTTGTTGCTCGTGTTGATTCGCAGGTTACTTCGCCGAGTCGGGAACCATGGGCCGTTGCACCCGTGTTGACTGCTTGTGATGTGGTCCGGTCAGGTGATGCCGCTGCTGAACAAACTATCGTGCCTCACCCTCTTGCTGCTGCTAATGAGTCCGTGTCCAGTGAGCGGACAGTCAAGGACCAGCCAGCTGCTCGGCAACGAGGTTGGCTTCGTGGCCGTTCTCGCGGGGCGAAAGCAACCTCACTTCCTCGCTCTCATGTTATGGCTCACACTAAGCATGGGACCGTATGAGCCTGTCGCATTGGCTACTACCGCAACTGTTGAGCCCTCCTGCTATTCTCATGCGGTTAAATTTTCCCGAGTAGCGTGAGGCGATGGACTTGGAGTTTAATGCCTTGGTTCATAATAATATATGGCAGCTTGTTCCTTTTCGCCCATGACTGAATGTTGTAGGTTGCAAGTGGGTTTTTCAAACCAAGAGGAAAGCTGATGGTTCGGTTGAGCGTCATAAAGCCCGGCTAGTTGCTAAAGGCTTTAATCAGGTTGCTGGAGATGATTTCTTTGAAACGTTTAGCCCTGTAGTTAAACCAACTACGGTACATCTTCTCTTGTCCTTGGCTTTATCTCATGGATGGACCATTCGTCAGTTATACATCCACAATGCTTTCTTGAATGGTAATTTGGCTGAGACTGTGTATATGCGTCAACCCCCCGGTTATGAGGACAAGACGTTACCCAGACACGTGTGCTTGCTTCAACGTTCTCTCTATGCGCTCTAACAAGCACCTCGTGCCTGGTTTACGAGGTTACATGATTTTCTTATTTCTGTTGGTTTCTCACCTTCTAAGACTGATGTCTCTCTCTTTGTTTATTCGTGTGATAATATTCAGCTATTTTTTTTTTGTCTATGTGGATGATATTCTGGTCATGGGTTCTGACTCGGATCGTGTTGCTGAACTTGTTACTAAACTGGCTATGGAGTTTAAAGTTCGTGATATGGGGGTGTCATCATTCTTTTTGGGCATAGCATTGAGACTGTTCCAGTCTCTGGTGGTATGCTTCTGTCTCAGCAACACTACATGAAGGATATTCTCAAACGAGCTGACATGGTGGACTGTAAGCATGTAGCCACACCGGTTTCATCTGCTAAGGGTACGGACGGGTCTATGGCTCCTTATGCTGATCCCACTCAGTATCGAAGTCTCGCAGGTGCCCTTCAGTATCTTACGGTAACCCGTCCTGATTTATCTTATACTGTTAATGTCAGTACATGCATGCTCCCACTACTGCAGACTAGCCCTCTCTCAAGAGAGTTTTGAGGTATGTTAATGGGACGTTGCACCTTGGTCTTCGGGTGTCTCGTTCTAACTCTCTTGAAACTCATGCTTATTCTGATTCGGATTGGGCTGGCAATCCGGATGATCGGAAGTCAACTAGTGGATTTGTTGTGTTCTTGGGTAGAAATCTTATCTCTTGGGTATGTCGGAAACAGCGGACTGTGGCTCGCTCCTCGACTGAAGCAAAATACAAGGGACTGGCTGATGTATCTGCGGAAGTCACCTGGCTCGTCTCTCTGATGAAGGAGATCGGTTTTCCTCCTACTACAGCGCCCAAGTTGTGGTGTTACAACTTGGGGCCCACTTATTTGTGTGCTAATCCAGTTTTTCACGCTCGCACGAAGCACATTGAGATTGACTATCACTTTGTTCGTGATAAAGTGGCGAAGAAGGAGCTGCAGGTTTACTTTATATCAACTAAGGATTAGTTAGCATACATTTTTACTAAACCTCTTTCTTCTTTACGTTTTAGTCTACTCCGCAACAAGCTCAATGTTTTGGCTAGCCAACCTCGTGCTTGAGTGGGAGTATTAGGACTATATTATTAGAGTTATACTAGAACTCTCTTTCATATCTTTGTATTTGTTAATCTCAGACTTTGGTATTCAATACAACACACAATTCATATCCTCATCGTGAATACAGAGTTCAACAATTGGGAATATGAACATTTAAAATTATGAACATAGAGTTTTGTAATTGTGAATATATATAGAGTTCAATAATTATGAATTTATACTATAGAAATTATGAATCAAAACATGGTGCACACAGTTGCACAACATAATTTGCCCAAAAAATTATAGAATCAGAACCCAAAAAAAAAAAAAAAGAAAAAAAAAACCGATAATGAAATTGGGCTAATCAAGCGAGCCCTATTGGGCTATATGGTTAGTTGAGTTGGCTCGTTTAGCCTGATTACCAAAAAGCAAAAACATTAAATTAGTAAAAGTCGCACCCTAATAGGCTAATATATGTTTGTTTTGATCTATGACAGAATGGAGTTTGGAAGGCTTTGAAATAGTGTTGTCCTACATTGGAAAATATATATATATTCGGTTTCAATTTTTTTTTTTCAAGTTAGATTTTTTTTAGAGAGCGTTCCGTTCACTTGTATTTTGAAAAAAATTCTCTATAATCTAAGCTGAAGAGGCGATTTGTCTAATTTAAATTTACTTAATTAACTTCTATTCTTCAAGCTTGTGAAGAGGATTGATGGAATTGATGACATTATGAACGTTTCAAACCTTAGTTTATAGATTGTTATGCCTTTAAGTGTAATAGTTTTGATCATAGAGATCAAATTTTTGTATAAATCAAGAAATGTTTGATCATTAGGTTAATAACATTAAATAAATTCTTTTTGTAATTAATATTTAAGCTAAAATGTTTGATATTATCCAATATTCACAACTACGGAATTCACATATAATGTCGGGCCTTTAACTCGGTTATATACTTAACTAACTTTAAAGAACAAATTGCACTTTTGGTCCTGTGACTATTGGGGTGTTGTTAATTTGAGTACTTGACTTTCAAAACTCTCAATTTAGTCCTTTAACTATGCAATTGTTAACAGATTTGGTCCTGCCGGCTAAATTGCCGCCAATTTTCACCGAAAAAATATAAACCATTTTTAATTATTTAATCATGAGGGTAAATTGCTCATTTCAAATAATTTCTTCTTCTTCCTTGCACGTTGTGGCTATGAGGTCTTTGAAGCTCAGGTTCAGCAATGGCTTCTCGAACATCACGACCGTTGCCAACCTGACCAAGCTTGAGTCTTTGAGCATTTCTGCAGCAATGGCTTCCCCCTCTCTCTCTCTCTAGCCTTATGAGAAGAACAAGAGCTTCAATCTCCAAGAGTTGAACAAAATCTGCAACTCAAAACAATGATAATGAAATTTCTCTTCATTTCCGTGAGATTAGAATATCTTCGAGAAATCTCACCCGTGCTATCTCGCGGAACTTTTTTAGGAATTTGACTTGTCTTCGCACCCCAGATCTCTCCAACAATTCCTTGAAGGGCTATGTCCCGGCGTGGCTTTGGTCTAATCCCACCCTGCTTGATGTTTTCAGTTCACCGTACCGATTGTCGTCGACTTGAAATTCTTCCGTTTTGGTTCGTGAACCTGACCAAGCTTGAGTCTTTGAGCATTTCTGGCTGTAATATTTCTGGGAATCTGAAACCCATTTCTGGAGGTTTCTGTTAATTGGTCATGTTGGACCACTTATAACAACTTATGGGAATCTGAAACCCATTTATGCACAAGTTAGATAGGGAAAATCACGCTGGCCATTTTCAACTCCCAAATGGTTGCGTTCATCTCGTTCGATTTGCGTGTATCGGAAGAGAAAACAGAACATGAAGAAGAAGAAATTAAATGATGCAAGGGAGGAAGAAATGACTTGAAATGACCAATTTGTCCTCACTGGTTAAATAATTAAAAATGGATTACATTTTTCCGGCGATATTTGGTTGGTAATTTGGCCAGCAAGACCAAATCTGTTAACAGTTGCAAAGTTAAAAGACTAAATTGAGAGTTTTGAAAGTAAGTACTCAAATTAACAACACCTCAATAGTCACAAGACCAAAAGTACAATTTGTTCGATGTTAAAACATATAACGTCGATTATTTGTAAATAGCCGACGTTATAAATAAAAAAAATTTAATAAATAAATAAATATAATACGACGTCGGCTATATAGATATCCGGCGTCGTATTGTATTTTAATTTTTTTTTATATATTTAGTATACGAGGTCGGCTTTCTAAATAGTCGACATGCTATAGTAATAATATTATTATTTTTTTAAATTATTAACTTACGACGTTGGCTTTTTAAATAGTCGACGTTGTAGCTGTTTTAAATTGGACACCAACCATTCGCACTACAGATAGGTCGGCTTTCTTCACATTCGCCATTTCAATTCTCACCACCGCCGCTCAGACGACTCATTGCGCACAGCCACCGGTCCGCTCGCCGCCACCATTTCGCTCAGCCACCGCCCACCGCCATGCCGCCCCGCACAGCCACGCCTTGCAGTTCGACGCTTTCTTCTTCGCGCTGCACATCCTCCGCCGCACCGGTCCACTGCCGCTCCGCGCTGCCCAGCCTCCGCCGCACCGCGCTGCCCGGCCTTCGTCGCACCGCCTAGCTACATTTTAATTTTGTTTTTTAATGGATTTCGAATTTTAGGAGTTATTAGGTTATATATTTTTTTGTGAATTTTGATGCTATTGAAGCTGGAAGCCTAGTGATTATTGCTGATTAGAGCTCTAAATGGAGTTCTTTTGTCAATTGTTCCCTCGATCACATTGAGTTGATCTTTGGATGTGGTTGTGATAGATTAGATTCATCAAATTGTTTGGATAGCTTGTTTGGTGATGGAAAGTTCAATTCATTCTATCCAAGCCTTCAGGTATATATTTTGAAGATTGTGAAGCTAAAAGAGAGATCTGTGGTCACTCAACTTTTGAGTGGTTTTACTGGCAGAGGCATGGTAAGTGTTTTACTAGTGGCATTGCAATTTTGTTCATTTTGTGGTGTCGATTTTGCAAGGTAATGCTAGTGTCTTTTGAGGCTGGTTTGGAGTACGGCTGTATTTTTGCTATGGAATTTGCAGGGTGTTTTGGCTTTGAATCTTCAGCAGTATCAAATGTTGTTCACTTAAAACTTCAATTTCTTTTTTACTCAGGCTTGTGGACAAGATAAACAATTCTATTGGCCAAGATCCTGATTCCAACCTTTTAATTGGGATTCTGATATTTATAGATCTGAGAGTTTGTAGACAAACAGGTGATTAACTGGTATGCCTTTGTTATCATCATTCACAGAGGTTCAGTTCTTGCAGAATACTGCATGAAAACTCTGTTCTTGTCCTGTGTACACAAGGATTTAGAACTAGTAATTTATGTTTCCACACTTACATTGACAAAACTATCCTTTCATTTGTTTAGTTTCTCTACCTCCTCCTAGTTCCTATTTTTGGCATAATGGTAATTTTTATGCTAATATCTATAGTTTGATACTCTAAGATGATTTTTGTTTTATTCTGTCAATGATACTAATTCTTTCTTGCAGTTTTGAACAATTTTGTATTAATTTGACTAATGAAAAAGGGCACCAACATTTCAACCAGGTTTGTACCTAAGATAGTTGGTTGTTTTTTACTTATTTGAATATGATTTGCATTTCTAATCTTGTACTTTAATGCATATTCTCTGTATACAATATGTATTTGTAATTGACTTGTTAATTTGATTAGATCTACTAATAATTTAAGTCGACTCTAATCATACATGATTAGATTTGTGTCTTGATGTACTTGATACCGATGTTCTACTTACATATAGGATTGTGTTTTGAAATAGTGGTTGGAAATGCTTGAGATGAATAGTTAGAGATCAGAGGAAGACATGTATGACTAACTTACTTAGGAAATTAGTTATGGGCTGTGCTTTATTTCTTATCTTCAATGTTTTCTGTTGAGCTGTATTTGATCATACAATAAAGAAGATTGAGTAAAATCCTGTATTTGATCATACAATAAAAGGAACTAGTAATGTTTTATGCTAAAATATTTTGGTTTCATCTAATATCTCAAAATACTTATTACTTTGATATAATTAGATTCTTCTCCAAAGTATTTTTTGTGTATAATATATGAACATACTATATATATAGTCTCCCTCTTCTATATAACATGATGAATTTCCTTTGAGTTGATGTGAGATGTGCTAGGGGCTCAAACTTTAAAGATGTACAAGTTTATTTTATATTTTTATTATTTTTTTGTCAAGGCTTCTTCTAATGCACCAAAATATAGTATACTATTTATAGTGATACAATCAATATAGTGAGTGAAATAAATTTATAATGAAAATTGCATTTAATATCATTGAAATATTGTGAAGAAACTAACACTTACATGCATGCATAAATATTCATACACTACGAAACATTTCATACAAAAGAAACCAGAAGGCTCATACTTCTTACATTACATCTAGTAGGTCAAAGACAACATACATGATTTGCTTTTCAATTTTCAACTTAATCCAACTCTCCAAGTGGGTCTTTATAAGAAAGATTGTTAGGAATATAGCGGAATAATGCGGAAGCGAAGAATCGAAAATTGAGAATTATAGGAGTTAAATAATAGGGAAAATATGTAAATGAAGAAAACTATATAAATAACAGAATAAGAAATTACTAAATTGGGAAAATATATATATATATGTCTACGTAAAGAGACAAAAGAAGGAATATATAAATGAATTCAAATGAATTGATGTGTAATTACAAAAACAAGCAAAGCTATTTATACATTAAAAAGTAGAGACAAATGTGGTGATTGTAAGAAGACCCAAGAAATTAGGTGAAGATGTGAAACATGATGATGAACAACGCTAGTTTCATGGTGAGTGGTTTTCATGATTTTGAGCCACACAATTTGAGCCACATTTTATTTCTAACAATCTCCACCTTGGATCAAATTCATGGTAGAATTAACAACTGGAACAGCCGACTAAACTCAAGCACTGCTTGAACTTAGCAATTGGAAAAGCTTCAGAATAGCAGGATGGATCACCATCAACTTCCTATGCGACTGAAAGAGCATAAGCAATCATGTTGGTTTCATCATCACTAGCATACCTAGCAGGTTTTTTAATTGTCCTCCTAGGACGATCCATAGCAATGGAATACTCTCGTTGTGGCTCGATGAGAGGTGCGGTGCTAGTAGATGCATCAGACATTGATGCATCAGACATTGATGAGGATACCGCAACTGAACCTGTCACAGTACTGCCATGCAAGACGTACAAGCTTCCGGAATGAGAAGCTTTCATGAGAACAAAAGAGCCTTTGATGGCCTTTAGAACTCCACCTTCAGCTGTGTACTTGCACCCCAGAGATTCCAATGTGCCCAATGATATTAGATTGCGTTTCAAATCAGGAATATACCGGACATTGGTAAGAGTCCTGAAAACGTTATCATGAGTTTTAATCTGAACACTTCCAATTCCACTAACCTTGCATTGGGTATCATTACCCAACAAGACAACTCCACCATCAACCGGTTCCATAGAAATGAACCAATCTTTGTGGGGACACATGTGGAATGTACAACCAGAGTCCAAAATCCACTCGGTTTCACTCCGTTTCTCACCGGAGCTAACAGATAACAACACATCACCATCTGAATCACTTTCAACAACACTAGCTTCAGTGGACTTCTTTTCTCTCTCTTGCTTGTTTTTCAGCTTGAAGCATTCAGTCACATCATGACCATGCTTCTTGCAGTACTTACAGGATTTGTTGGACTTGGATCTAAATTTTTTATTGCTACTCTCTGTTTCAAGTGAATGACCCCTTACAGTCAAGCCTTCACCTTTGTCCCCAGACTTAATTTCAAAGTCAAACTTTTCTTTGGACAATAGGTTTGACTTAACATTGTCGAAAGTAAGGGTATCACTACTATTACCATACAGCATAATTTCTTTGAAATGCTTGTATGATTTAGGGAGAGAAACAAGCAATAAAACAACACGATCCTCATCGTCAATTATGACATCAATATTTTCCAAGTCCAATAAAATAGAATTGAATTCATCTAAGTGAGACTTAATAGAAGTACCTTCCGTCATACGGATTGTGTACAGACGCTCCTTCAGGCGCAGCGTGTTCGCCAGAGTTTTGGCCATGTAAAGCGTATCCAGCTTGGACCATAAATCTGACGCAGTCGTCTCACTTACTACCTCACGTAGAACCTCTTTACACAGGCACAAAAGAATGGTTGAACGTGCCTTGTCATCCAAATCTTCCCAAGTTTCATCTGTCATTGTAGCTGGTTTCTTCTTCTTACCAGCTAGAGCTTTCTTCCAACCGTTCTGGGTTAGAACGACTTCCATCTGAACCTTCCAGATAGAAAAGCTAATTTTTCCGTCGAACTTCTCGATATCGAACTTGGTAACAGTCGACATCTTTGAAAATAACTCTCAATTAAACCGCTTTGAGAATTATAGAAGTTAAATAATAGGGAAAATATGTAAATGAAGAAAACTATATAAATAACAGAATAAGAAATTACTAAATTGAAAATATATATATATATATATATATATATATATATATATATATATATATATATATATATATATATATATATATATATGTCTACGTAAGGAGACAAAAGAATGAATATATAAATGAATTCAAATGAATTGATGTATAATTACAAAAACAAGCAAAGATATTTATACATTAAAAAGTAGAGACAAATGTGGTGATTGTAAGAAGACCCAAGAAATTAGGTGAAGATGTGAAACATGGATGATGAACAACGCTAGTTTCATGGTGAGTGGTCTTCATGATTTTGAGCCACACAATTTGAGCCACATTTTATTTCTAACAAAGATGAAATCGGATAGTCTTATTGAGAAATATAAGATGATACTTGTAATTAAGGGTTACAGACAACATGTGTCACTATTATTTTAATACTTATTCTAGTGTGACAAGAACAAATTACATTAGGATGATACTTGATATTTTCGCGTTGTGAAGTTTGGAAGTTCCTCAAATAGATATGAAAATAACTTTCTTAAATAGTGAGTTAGATGAAGAGGTTTATATGGAACAACATGAGTTTTATTGTTTCGAGGCAAAATTAAAGAAGAAAGCCTGTAAATTGGTTAAATTATTACGCAGTTTAAAACAAGTGTCTAAGCAATGACAGTAGAAGTTTGATCATGCGCAGTAATGTCCAATGTCTTTACAAATCTAATAAGAGCCAATAATATTAGGTCCTTAACAAGAACAACAAAATGTTGGTGTAATTGGTTCTTGAAATGAATGGTTCATACTATTTTGATTTGAGTATGTGTATATATATATATATATATATATATATATATATATATATATATATATATATATATATATATATATATATATATATATATAGGGAAGGGATCAAGTGCATTTGTGGCTTCCCGTGCGGATGTGCGGTGGATTAATGTGCGTGAGGTTTATACTTAATGTGCCTGAAATTTGTACTTAATGTGCGTCATGTTAATATGCGTGAGTTTTGTACTTAATGTGCCTGAGTATTGTGTTTAATGTGCGTGAGATTTATGCTTAATGTGCGTGAGTATTTCAGAATTACGAGCTCAGAAGGAAGCAGAACAGAAACTCACGCACATTAACGCCCAAGCTTCTTGTTACTTCTTCCTTCAATTTGGCCATGGATTCTGGATTATCAGCTACCTTCAATGCAGTTGAATGTTTACATAAATGATGCATGCACAGTAAAATTTGCACAGCAGCAAATTGTGGATTTCTGTTGTATTATTCCCGTAATTCTTAACCACCATAGCTCGCCTTCACATCATCATCAACAGGGAGGGGGAAAATGGCTACTGGGGATGGGGAATAAGCTGACATCAATATTTTCTGCTGCATTTTACACATTCACGCACATTAAGTATAAATCTCAGGCACATTACGCACAACACTCACGCACATTTAGTACAAATCTCACGCATATTAATCCACCGCACATCCGCACGGGAAGCATCCAACCGCACGGGAACCTTTCACTATATATATATATATATATATATATATATATATATATATATATATATATATATATATATATATATATATATATATATATATATATATATATATATATATATATATATATATATATATATATATATATATTTATGATTTTCCTTATTTACACTCTATTATATTATTTTTTTCCCCTTAAATAA